GGAAAGCAACAACCTCCTTGCTGCGCAGGTGGACCAACTTCTGCCCTGAAGAGGTTAAAGGCTCGGGTCAGAGCCCTTGCCAGCCCACCTGCAGTAAATGTGGCTCTGCCTCAGCCATCTACACCAACAGCCTATGGGGTCTTAAAATAAATCATTTCGTGTCTTAATTTAATCTGGGTCCTGTGAGGTACTCATGTCTCAGGACAAGCCATCCACAGATCCTGGAGCGGTGGACACGCAGAGCCTTAGAGACAGGGGCAAAAAGGTGGCCTGAAATGAAAAAAAAGAAAAAAAAGAAAAAAAAGAAAAAAAAATCAATAGACAGCTTTGAAAAATATTGCAGTCATACGTTTACCTTGAGTAACGTATTTAGTTGTTAGGGACTGAGGTGATGAAGCCAAAAAAAGGCACTTTGCATTATTTCTCACCAAAATCTTCTAAGAAATGGTCTTGTTTCTCCTGCAAACGTATTTCCTAAGCTGCCTTTTAAAGGGTTTGTTTTTCCTTTACATTTTCCTTCCCTCCAGAGTAGCTCTTAAAAGTCCCAAGTTATTGCTGTTAAGAATTATTATTTCCTTAAGAAAAGGATCTATCCAAAAGAATCAGGGAAGGGGAGAGGAAGGAGTCAGAAAAAATCTCAATTTGAACTCTGCAAAACCAAATCTTTTTATTAAATATCTCCAGTCACTTTCTGAAGGTGTAAAATCGACACCAAGTGACCAGTCTGGACTGCAGCTGGTCCATCACTGCCTGCCCCTACCACCCACAGGCAGTGTGTGAGAACAAAGAAGCCAAAAGCTAGAGAAATCCTTAGGGCCAGTAAAAAAAAGTGCAATAATTTTGCTAAGCAAAAGCTAGCCAGTAATAATTTATGGCAGGCATAGGTTTTTCTGGATGAGGTTTAGGATTCTGCATGCTTGTCAAGGGCTAAGTGCACTCTGTAAGCGCTGGAGCATCTCTGGCTGGTGAGAAAATGATCGGCTGGCGGCCACCAAGGCACCCCACTGCTTGTGGAGAGGGAGATCAGGAGGAGCCGGGTTGCACCCATATGAGAACATCACTCACAGGGGACCAGCATCCTCACCGCTCCACGCCTGGCCAATAGCTCAGCCATGTCTTGATGCTGCACCCAGCCGAGGGAGCAAGCTCAGGACACCCACCTCTAAGCCACTCTCCATCACGTAGAGGACAATTCCTGCTTGGAACAAGGGTTTAAAAGCCATGCAGAGGATGCTGGTAGTCGCTTGGCAGCACACAGGCTATCTCAAAAGGACTACTAAAATATACGTATAAAACAACAGAAAAAATAGGATTTCATTGTTATTTCCCAGTGGTTTATGTTCCTGAGAAGCTGACAAACAAGCACTCTGGAAATTTTCTGATGTGAGCTCCCACAGGTCATCATGACAAATGCCACCTGCCAGGCTGCTTGGAACAAGACCCTCCAACCTCTCGATAGTCCTGGAGATGGTCTCACTCGGTGGCTTTTCAGCCCTCAGTTTGTGCTACTCTAACCTGCTCCCCGCTCTTCCAGCCTACACCTCCAGAGCAACTGGTTTTCCACTGTGTTGAGCAAGGGATGGTCTGTTTAAGACCAGCGCCATCAGTAAGTCTCAACTCTCCACAGCCCCGGTGGCAGCATGTCCTTCTCGAGAAACCCACCCAAGCCAGATTGCAGTTGAGCCTCTTCAGAAATGTTTCTATTCTTGGATATGGTTTTTGAGGGTGAGTTTGGGCTATAAGCAATGGAAAATAACAGTAGCGTGAACTGCTCTGGCTCTATTAAAGTTACTATCACACTTGAGAAGTCCCGTCCCGTAGGGAAGCGTATTATCATACAACCTGCAGCTCCTGCTCCGCCACCTCACCCGTGCAAGCTGCTAAATGCTTCATTCGGTCCTTCTTTGTCCTCGTACGTGTCGGCAAGCAGCCCTCCCACAGCAGCTGGCTGCTCCTTGCGCTTTGGCTAATTAAAAGGAGATATGAAACTGCAGCCAGAGGAAATCCTCCTAGATGATCCATCTCTGTAAGCACGGCCAAGCCCGGCAGCAGTGAGTTCAAGACAAGCTTGCTATTAGCATCCTGCACTGCCCCCAGAGGGTTTTGGATTGAATCCTAGCTATTTCCCTTCTTCCAGGACAGTGGGGCCAGACAGCACCACAGAGCTCAATGTATTTGCTCTGGGAGCAAAAACAAATGATGCAATGGTGGAAGACGCAAGTCTCTTGCACAACACAACTTGTCAAAAGGAGCCCCGTAAGCTTGCCTGAGGAATAAGCTAATTTGGAAATACAGTAACCCAGCTCCAGCCCTGTCTTCCTACGCATGTGAGAGATGCAGCCTCAGCCCCTGTGCATGGAGAGCCTCCATTCGTTACAGGATGAAACTTTAAGCAATGTCAGGCAAGCATTCCTTCTGATCAATTAAGAAGTGGCACTGACAGAGAAAAGCCCCACCAGGTTTTCTTGAAACGTGAAGGCTGGAGGCTGTGTGAGAGGATATTCGTGTGAAGCAAGGGAAACAAACAGCCCATGGGACAGGTGAGGATCGGGGGTGAAAAACAGAACAGGCCTGCAGAGTACTGATGCCAGTCATTAAAAGGAAAGAAAATTCACTATGGGAAGACGCTAGCACTCCAGAGTGGTTCTTGAGGTAGTATAAATCAGCATAACACTACTGTGTGCACTTTATGACAGCTACAGGCTGGGCCACATACTCTCAGTGCTGCGTGCTCCGGCAGAGGAGGAATTTGGGCATAGCAGTGAGGCGCCGGTATAGATATTGGTACCGGGCAGGTGCCAGAGGCAAATGGCAACATCACTGCCACAACTTCAGTGTTCAGCTATCTCAGAATTTGAAAAGGAAAAATCCTTTAATTCTGTTGCCACCTTGTAAAGTACTCATAGCACTGATGAGAAAGACAGAACCTGAACGCACATTTTTAGAAAGCACATTTGACTACCTTCTGGAAAAAGCGAGTCTCTGAATGCAAGAGACTGCTTCATGCTACAGTTAAGAACAGGGAAACCCACATATATGATACTTCATTGCTCTGTAGCGAATTTTGTTGATTAGAATCATTAGGATATGAGAAGAAAATAGTTAATGTGGTGTGACCAATCTGCAAATGTTAGAAAATCTACAATCACATGAAACTAATTTTAAGTTAAATGGGATGGTCTACAAATTACGGGCAAAGGATTGCTACAAAAGGCACTGAGAAAGGCAGGCAGGAAAGCAACACACAGACCAATACCCCACCCATGATGAACAGTGGTTAGGAGAACACAGGCAGCTCACACAGTCGAAGAAAATTGTTTCTGAGAACTGATGCAAAACGAATGCTGATTAAATTTCAGCCTTCTGAAGGGTCACTCGATACCAGCTTCATAGGGTGCTCACGTCACCACCCTTGCAACAGCCAGCAGGACGATGGCCACTGGCCACAGGGCTACCTTCAGCCTGAATGGATGTGGGAGTGCGAGATTGCTGCAAAACCCTTCTGTGAGTTGGAGTTATCCAGCCAGTGAGGTCCTGGGGAGCTACAGGTCCTGGTGGCTTCCCTAAACAGACTGCTCGCACGTCTGTCACCTGTTTATGAAGTTTTTCTCACCTCAGCTCTGATGTACGTGGCATGTGATGTGCAGCCACGTGCAGACTTTGGGGCACAGCTCACTCGCTTCAGCAAGAAGCCCATTTTGCCCTAAGAAAACAACAGTGGGAGTATTCACGTGCCCCTTTAAAATATCAAGGCAAAAATTATTACTTGGCAAGGTTACAATGGCAAAGCAAACAGACTTTAGGATTGTCGTTCTGGGTTCCCCCCCCCCCCTTAAATCATAAACATGTTTGAAAACAAAGTGAGACATAATGAAAATGAATATACAGAAGTAGCACTTGCCTGAAGGTCCAATGTTGTACTGCGGTGTTTCACTCATTTTTCAAGCCTCCTGTTTCTTGCCTGATTTGTACAGCAATGCTTTTCTCCCCCTCTCTCTAGAACTCATGTTATAATCCTGCCTTGAGATGCTCATCTATCAGCCCATCACTCAGAAAGCAAGCTATTTATCCTACTGTTCAAACATCCATTCAGACCTCAGGAGGATGGTGGGGATCGGGGAGGGAGAGAATACACTTTTCCTGTTGCGTTAATGCTGGTTATAAACTACGGAGGATGCTAACATCTATCAGGGAAACATCTCACGCTCCTGCCCCTTTTTTCCTTTCTTCCCCAAGAGCTGTACTTTTGACACAGAGCTGTTTTTTAAAGATGGCACCATTTAGGGTCTCCACCTAAAGGAGAACTGTGCAGGATCAGGTCCTAAGTAGTCAGTGTGTTACCCCAGCAATGAAGCCAGATTCTGATCTCGGGGAAAATGAGTGTAAGTCTAGAATAAACTACTCCCCTCACTGGAGCAACAGAGGTGTGAGTGCCATCAGCCCGACCCCTGCCATGCACTCTGTCCAGCCCAATGCCACGGCACCCGCCTACCTGTCCCCTGCCTGACTCTGCTTCCTCCCACCAACATCCAGGAAGACCTGTGCCCAGAAAGCTTCCCTTTGCAACCACCTGCCTATCACTTAGCAAAGCACATACCTGTTAGCAGCTATTACCAACAGATTATTCTGATGCAACACCAAAAAAAGGATTTTCTTGAGTCGATTGCTGTAAGTGCAATCTCTCCCCCAGCACCTCTTCCAAAACACCCCCCTTCCTTTCCCACAGACCTGTACGTAACTCACAAAATGAAAACATCTTAAAACACAGTACATTATTTTATCCACTCCATCCTTTCTATCTCCTACCTGCTACTCCAGCCTTTTGCTATTGAGGTGCAGTAAAATCTGATTTTAAACATGAAGCTGACACTGTATGCTTATTCTCTTCAGCCAAAATATGAAAAATAAAAAGCTAGCCATATAAACATTTTATCACAGCAATAGATAAATCTGTCACAATAACGATTCTGACATATAATAATAAGCAAAAAAAGATCGAGGAGGTTTACAGCAGTTTAATGAAGGCTCTCGTACCAAATCTTGAACTCAAAGTTACAGTCAGAGTTATTGAAAAAAATAACTTACAATGAAAAGCTGATGAGAATTGCCCACCTAGCCATGGAATTAACTGCAGTTTAACGCTGTGCTTAAATACTCACCACACAATAGAAACAAATTTTAATCACGATCAAGGTACACACAATTCACTTCCATTCTGTTTTCAATTACATGTATTCAGAATGTAATCTAACCTCTGGAAGTTACTCTGAAGAACACAGAGGTTTGTTTTTTTTTTAAACACTCACTGGAAATAAATACCATTTAAAGAATACACATGGAGTGCAGTAAAATGGACACTTAGGCACTGGTACAGTCTAGTCCTCTTCAGCCCTCTACAAACTACAAGACAAGAAGTTTTAAACCACAGATGGAGTGGAGAGCAGAGCAGAGCTGTACAGGTAGCGCAACAGGTTATGTACTACACAAGAGCACATCTGCAAAAGGTCCCAGGAGATTTTTGTTGAAGATGCAGCGTATCCACACCAGGTATATCGTGAAGGGCTTAATGTTTTCTGAGAAGGTGTGATTCTGATGGGACAATATATAAGGCATGTAAGTGTTTTCTCCTTGCTCTTGTATCCACACTTCATATTTCACTTCTCTGACCTTGAGATACTTCAGGTTCCAGGGGATCTGCCAGGACACAGCAAGTTTAGCTTCGCTCGTGCCCTGGACAGAGGCTTGACACTTGGCATCCCTCACTTTGCCAGGGTAGAGGCTGCCAGACCACTTCTGCTTCTTGGGTCCGGGCTTAGACTTCACAGTCTGCCTGATCACATGGATGAGAGAAGGGATGTTCACCTTTGTGTCCTGGTAGGCACGGAACAGCCACTCAGGGTTGCGGCAGCAGAGGTGCCGCGGCACCTCTGTGCTCTTAATGATGCGCTCTTGCTCAGTTTTGTCCAGATGAGCAATCCCACCCTGATCCCAAGGTCTGTCCGGGTAGGTAATGGTGTCTTCCCTGTCAGTGTTCTGCCAGGCAATGTACTGCAGGTCCATGCCAGGAAGGGTTGCCAGGGTTTTGTAAGGGGTATAGTGTTCAGGGTTGATAGCATAAGGAAAGAGCTCCACCACTGTGGCACCTCTTGGCAGGAAGAGAGACATGACTAATTGGGCCCCATGCATGCTGACCAGCATGGATGCATTGCTGATCAACCGGACGATGTCAGAAAATGAATGCTCCTCCAGAGAGACGGTAATGGTTTTCATCTGAAACTCCTGAGCGAGAGCCAGGATTAGTTCTGCCTCATTTAGGATAAGTCTGTTGATTGTTCGACTGAACACTACGATGTACTCCTCACTGGAGCTTTCCTCCAAGCTGACGTTCAGCTTCTGCATCATAAATTTGGTGAACTGTCTGATCTCATTACCAGAAACCAAGATGTTAGCCTTTGGTCCTTGTGGCTGGACAAATCCGTACTGGTACCAGGTGGTGATTTTGGACAGTCCCACATACGATTTGGTGAAGCAGAGGAGCCTGCCCAGGGTTTTAAGCTGCTCCCTGAGGAGTGGCTGCTTGTTACTCAGTAACTTGTAGAGGTCAAAGTGAACACCTTCACTCCACCCTTCCATGAAGAAGAGCCGTGCCTCCAGATCTAAATCAGAGAACTGCTGCATGGTGTAATAAATGGGGAGGAGGTCGTCATGAAAGACGTGCATCAGGTTGTCTGGGTTGAACCTGTTAGCAATCAGTGCCACATCAGGCACGAAGACTGGCTTTGGCATAAATTTCAGTGCAGCAGCTGGCAGCTCCACAAAGTTGAAGTACTGGGTGTTGTGATCTTCCACCGAGGAGAGGTCGAGCAGAGCTGGCTGGAACCTCCGGGAGCCCAGGTTGGGCAGCATGACCGAGGAGTTGCTGTGAAAGTAGACAAACTCCTCAGCCTCAGTAGAGTAGCAGAGGGACTCAAAGCGGCAGATGCGGTCGGTGTGCATCCTGCCGGTGCACACCATCCTGGTACCGTCCTCCACCAGTGCCTGGAGAGCTGCATGGTAGTCAATCTGAACCTGAGAGAGTTCCTGAGACTGACGCGTGAGGACCAACTCCTCTTCGACCATGAAGACATGCTCTCGCAGTTTGATGTATTTCCACAGCACAGCAGCGAGGACAGACACGAGCAGGGCATTAAACACAGCTGCTATGTTCATTCTGTAGTTAGATCCTAGCAAGATGACAGGTGGGGAATGCAATAGAGAAGGAACACATCATTAACACTCCTTGACATGGTGAGGGCAAAGACCTGTGGAAAATAAAACAAGAAAGGAACCATTTAAACATCAGGTTTACAGCTCCACCATAAATCACATTTTATGGACTATTCAAGAGAGTTTAGGCTTTTTTCAGTAATTTTTCTCCCCTTTCAGGGAATGAGGGAAAAGAAGAAAAGAGTGCCAAAGCACTACCCAAAACTGTAAAAAAAATAAAGCAAACAGAACTGGGAGCTGTTCTACAGAAAGGCTTCCTCTCTCGTTTTCGTTTCTGCCCTTTTGGAGAAGTAAGAGATTGAGGATGAGCTCTATGAAGCTTTGTCAGAAAAATGGTATGTTCCCTGGGACTTTGGCTCACTTTGCTTTTTGCAGACCACTCCAACAGTGAGAGGAAAGAGAGCACTGCAATCACGGGGCCACTCGCACAGCGCTTGGGACACCTTGCTCCTTCTTTTGATCTGCCGTAGGCCTTTTGCATGGCTGCGAGTACCCAACTCTGCCTCTCGCCTTTACTGTGCAGGTAACAATACTACAAGGAGTATTGCCAAGTATAGATTTTGCTACACTCCTTTCCAATATGAAATGTGAACTGGTGAACATAACATTCAATTTAATTTTATTCCGGGGGTTGGGAGAGGACTTGCAGGTCCAGGGACTGCCCTGTAGTCTCTCAGTTGTTTCTTTGGCTGCAATCCAGGATCAAAGGCTAGAAGCTGCCATTGTCTTCCAAAAGAAACATTGGCATGGGAGAGAGGAGAGCTCCGCTCTTTATGTGAGGAACTGATGTTTCATTAAAGCAATCAAACCTTCATTAGTGAGAGTCTGACTTGCACCAGCACAGCCAACCCTTATACAAATGAGAAGGTAATACATTTGAAGTGTTTCCAGTGTTGGTGTTTTCCCAGCCCAACCTGAGAATCTTTTCTGTGCTGCTCCAAGGCCTCCCTGTTTCTTTTTCTGTTATGGGAGAAATACTGCCACTGTTTTCTTTCTATGTAGAAACACTACTGGCTTATATCAGAGTATCGATTCTATTTTCAACTGTGAACTTCAACTGAGATATTGATTCACCTACAGTATTTATGGGCTCCAATTTTCATTATGCATCAAGGTTCACTGCTAGTCAGTCAGTAAATAATCGCAGCCCTGACTCATGGGGAACTTTAGGAAGGGAAGTTTCTGATTGGTATATACCTGATTAGACTGTTTCTAGGTGCAGTTTTTAAAGGTAGCAATTTAAACTCCCTTTGACGTAAGTTTGCAGGGAGGGAAAAAAAAGCAATGTCTCAAGCACATGCTCCAACATCCCAAGCAATAGTCCCTTAGCATTTTAACCCAGAGATGCTTGTTCTTATATGGCAGAGTGGAAGAAGACAGCAAGGCATATTTAGGACCAATGCAAGCACCTCCTCTACCGCCAAGGCAATTCTTTTGAAAAAGAGATATTGCAGCCTGAAAGCTTGACCCTGCAATCTGGTTCATGCAGCTTAGAATTGAATGGAGAATCATTCATGGAATTCAATTAAATTAGAAGGGATCCCTACAGCTTGTGAGGTCCCAACAGCCTGTGGGATCCCTGTCTTAGGAAGAACTGAAGGTACGTGAGAAACTGAATAATGCCAAAGAAATGACTGCTAGCTGTAAGCCACACAGATTCAAGAGGTGGTCTCTGGGGATCTGAGCAACAAATTCATATAAATTTTGGAGCAGCTCTAGCTACTCAAATGAAACAGAAATGAAGTCCACCTCCTTTGGCAAGTGGTCTGAAAAACTGCCTCATTTAGCAACTCCCTAAAAGCAAGCAGCAAATTAAAAAGGTGTTGGCTTTGATTTCAACCATGGAAAAGGAAATGGGAAGGGACCCAGAATGGTCATCTAATTACTAGGGATCAGCTCTCCCTAAACTACTCCCAAAAGATGCTTATCTATCTCATTCTTAATACTCATTCATCTCTTCAGCCAGTCTCTTGCAATAAAGGCATGAAGGACTGTGATAAAACTCTTTCCTAACACTCAGCCTTTGTTTCCACCACAGCAATTTAAACCTGGTCTTGTTGCAGGTGCCACAAATATCCTACACAGACAAATGATGGCTGTCGCATCACCTCTCAATCTTTACTTGATGACTGCTGCTCCTGATGGCTTTGCAACTCTCAACCATGGCTGTTCGATGGACAGCCTTGAATGGAAACCTACTGGGTACAGTGGTATAACACTCAGGCTCTGCTAATGCAACCAAACCAGTTTTCAGGAAAATAAATTTTTGATGGGGATGGATCTTAAGTTATTTTGTTGGTACCAGACTTCCAAAGCTCCATTCTACTTCTTCACTATCTTTGAAAGATGTCTAAGGATATCATCCAACTTTCCATGTAACTTCTCCACTACAGACCTCTCAGCTTGCGAGCACAGCTTTAAATGACTTCAGCAGCATCACCAAGGAGAGGACCGAGCCCAAGCAGCTATGTGCAAAGCCTGCTAGTCAGTATGTGAAGGAGACCTTTAACAATCAAGTCCTCTGCTACAAGCACACACTTCAAATGAAGGCCAGTCTGTGGGCATTGTGAAAGTTTACTGCTGGTCAGAAGAACAAAGCACCTACAAGTTCAGCAGAGTCAATGAACATTGCAAGAACTTGGCAGAGGGGAAAAACCACATGGCCTCTTTATTATTCCAGTATGGCGGGGAGAGTGTCTACGTGTGGGTGTTTCAAAGGCATTAGAAGCCAGCAGTCCCTAAAAACACCACCAATACCACCTGCCTTTCACAAGCATCTCAGTGGTGGAGAGCTCCGCCGACCATTACAAACCCCTTGAGCCGAACAGGCCTCCTTAGAAACAGCCTGTTCTAATGTTTCACCCCTGACTGATTTGTTCTCTCCCCTCCAGCCCCGAGGGAAGGGCATAAGAGGCACTTCAGAGATGCAGCCTGATGGATGCAGCCAATGTTCAGAGGTTAGCAATTTTCATTTCAGACTCTGCTACAGCAATACCCACTAAATGGCTACAGATGAACAACTCAGCTTTCTAATAAAAATCACCTGCAAGGCCCTCCTCCATCTCTTCCCTCACTGCAGCTCTTTCACTTCCCTGCACTTAGCTGAAGTGAGTGCACGTGCTTTAGCCAACCAGGTGTCAGGAACGAATGTTAAAAGCTAGCAATGCTGAAGGAATCCATTCCTGTTCCTCACTGCCAGTTCATAAATCCTGGTTCATGCTGCTTGGCTGAAAGCTGCTTTTGATGGAAGTGAACAAGAGGATGTGGACAGGAAGAGGTGTCGCAGGCAGAACTGAAAGGAGAATTTCACAGGTACTCAGAGAACTATCTTCTTTGCCTGTTTTCCCACATTTTATCATCCACCTTTTTTTTAATCTGACACTTTCAGTGAACACAGACCTTAGAGAACAAAAATCTTCGGTCCTTCAGAGAGTGACAGAACATAAATAGTAACAAACCATCCTGCTGTTTGCTTTTACATACCCAGGAGGGGCTGCACCAAGGGGGTAAAGGCAAGCAATCACTCTCCATGTCTCCTGGTTCCTCAGTCCCCCAAGCTGAGATCAGTCATTAAGTCTTGGCAGCAGCAGTAGTCCTGGGATGGGAAACTTTCCCAGGAGGCAACAGGTAACTCTGAAACAGGTGAAAGCATTTAATCTTCCACCTGAAAAAAGCTGCTTCACAGTAAATGAAACTTTCATTACTAAATGTCCCTCACTAAATGGGTCTAGAGCTGCCACTCCCCTCCCACAGCGTCATAGGAGAACATCTTAAGAACTGAAAAGCACTTGCAGAAGTAGCAGGCCAGACACACTGCTACCTTCCTTAAGAGCAGAGTCCTCTGTGCTCTTTCTTTCTACATATAGGTCAGCATCTGGCTGTTCACACCCCCAGTTGCTCACAGACTTATGTCCTCGCCATCCATACCACACTCACCCACCCTCTCACTTCCCAGTGACACTAGGATAATGACTGCTTTGCTCCACATGAGCAATGCGTCCCAGTTGCCAAGGAAATTGCATGGACTGACTTTTTTTACTCTCTGCTTTGAAATGCTAAAGCACCATCCTTCAGCAACAGAAGATGCGACAGCTGATAGACTAGAGCCTGGCCAGAAGAGACATGCAAGTAAAAGCAGCACTGAGCTTCTCACTGCTAAGCTGGCCGAGGTCAACGATACCCCATAAGAGGGGATGGGATACGCCCTTGAAGATTCCTGACAGGAGTGGGCTGCAGGGGAGGAGCTGGAGTGAGAGAGGGAGACAGAAGCAGCAGATTTCCCTAGCAGGGATGCTGACAGGGCAGCGGGGCAGCTGACTTACAGTGCCACAGAGTCAAAGATAGGAAGCTCAACAAACACCCTGGCATAGGGGCAGCTCAAGACTTTGCAATGGAAATAAAAGCATATCCTGAGGTTTGCAGCTCACCCTCAATGGATGCCGCTCCAGAGGCTAAGAGCCTGTGGGAGGGACTCTATTTTTGGTCAGCTCATCTTTGCTCTTTTTCCAAGAGATCACAGGCATGAAGAGCTTACCCCATTCTCTTCCTCCAGTCCCCCCTCACTTAGCAAAAGGGTCACAGCTTCATCCTCTCAGCCCAGCTACTACTGGTTCTCTAACTAGCGCTGAGCAGGTAAAGCCTTCAGGAGCATGCATCTGGCACCTCTGGCAGAGACCTCGAGCACCTTGCAGGTCCGTAGTACTCCCATGGAAGTTTGGACACAGTGGCACCTTCTGCCTGTTAGCTGCCACTCATCTGATGTTTTAAACATCCTCAGGAAGTGGGAAAGCAACAGGAAGCATAGATGGAGACACTGTTCTTCACTTTTTAACATGTCAAGGAGATCAGAGTGGGTGGGATGGGAGAGATGAATTTCTACTAATAGGCAGTTAGCATAAAGGACTGTTTGGATTCATTTAAGAGACGAGTTCTGTTGTTCTTTTTTTAATTGTGAAGCTAGGGTAGGATGAATCACTACTTTAAAGCTATTAATATGATGGACAGTGTTTTAAATCTCTTATCCATTTTAAAAGTTACAATCTAGGTAGGAAATTGGGAGAAAAGCTACAAAGCCCACACAATAAAAAGCAAACAAAAAGAAAAAGACACAAACATACACTATTAAAACCCCCAAAGGAAAAAACCAAGAGCTTCATTAGGGAGAACAAGGGTCACCAGGATGAACAGCATGTCTAAAGGGGGACCACCTAGTCCTGCAGCTATTAACAAAATGACAAGTTCTGGTTTTGTCTACTTAGGCCTTGCCAAGCTTTTGTTACCAACTGCCCAAGCACTTCCCAAGCCAATGCTCAGTTTTCTAGAGCTACAACAGGCTAAAAAACCTCACAAAATGGAAAAAAAGCATGAAGGACACACATTTCCAGACAGCATCACCACTCTGTGCACAGAGAGAAATGCCTCTACATGGAGGCCAACTTGGGTTTGGCCCAGTTGACCAGCTCCCGTGCAGGGCCTGCCAGTCGTGGCAGCAGTGTCCAAGCAGAACCGTCTCCACAGTTCCCAGAAATGTGGTGCAACTGGAAGTGGTCTGGGGCTGCTCCTGCCACAGGAAAGGGAAAGAGTTGGGGTAGAGCCCCATGGGCAGGAAACGGTCAGGGGACCCTGACCCTTCTTGTTACAGCAACATAGTGGGAGGCGTGGGAGCAGATATTCCCCCCTCAGGGACATTTTCCCCATTATCACTCCCTACCCCTGGCTCCATCTCTTGCTAGACAGGCTTTCCAGGACCAGTACAGGAAAAGAAAAGCGTACAAACATGGCATTTCACACTCCCCCTGCAAAATGTCTTCTGTTCTTTCTCCCATCTCTGATGCAAGAGGCTTAGCTAAGGATGCAGTATATGTAATACATGCAGTTTTAAATACCTACTTCATTCATGCTCAAAGCAGAAGTTGCTAGAAGGCAACTTTCCTGATTGGAAGGATGGGGAGTTAGGATTCGGCAGCCAAGAATTCGCTTTTATTCCCATCTCTGTCACAGATTCCCACAGAACTACAAGCAAGTCAATCCCAACAACCCAAAAGGCTGTTATCTTATTCACTGTATTTATTTAATGAGATACATAGATCTTTCACAGTACATATGACATTAAAGAAAGGATGGTACACTGAATGATTGATATACTGGAACATTTTCTCTGTAAAAAGCAGCCAAGTGTAGAAGTGCTGACTTTTTAAACAGGGAAAGAGCAGATTCTTGAAGGGAGCAAACCCAGCAGTTAAAGATATAAATATCATTAGTGAAGCCTGATACAAAGAGGGGATACAAAAAATAAGAACACCCTAACTCTGTAGTTTCAAGTAAAATTTTAAAAATAGAACTTTATTCAGAAAAAATAAAATAAAAATATAACTATATTTAAAAAAAAAAGTCTCACAGAAACCTTAGGTATCTATACAGAGTTGTGATCAAAATTAGGTTTATCTTCAGTTTTTATGGTTTAGCATAAGTGAGGAATAGAAAGCAAAACTGTAAATCTTTCTATACAAGACTGCAACCAAGGAGACTGAGGCTCTGTGCAACGGTCCCTACTGCAAACATACCATCAGTATGAACAGGAGAATATTGGTGGCTACTGGACACCTTCCAGTTGTGCTTATGAATAGAAAGTCTAAGTTTTCTTCCATTTAATTTCAGAGTCTGTGAGAGGTGGGACAGGAAGAGATCCAACCTGACTTTCACGTTGACTAGCAGCCATTGATTTAGTATTTGTTGATACTGCTGACTTGATCTACAAAAGAACAGGTTAAAAAAAAAAATTCCAACACTAAGCAGTCAATGCGTATAAGCAAGCCACAAAACTGAGCTAAAAGTATGAAACTAAAAACAATACTTCTTGGGCTTTTAAGGTCCACATTTCCAAGATCTCTTCTCTATCCAGAATGATATGGAGTATGAAATCCTTTACTCAAACAAAAACTAATCCTGATCTCCAGAAAATTCCCCTAAATAAGATGCACTTCTGATAAACAAGCTTGAGGTGGGAGATGTAAGAAAAATGAGTTGAAAAAGGAAAAAAAAAAAAAAAAAAAGAGTATTTCACTCAACCCTCAAGTCTTCACCTTCTGACAGTCACAAGCCTAAACATGAAAACCCAAGGTACTCAAAATATTCATGGCTAGACAGAGGGGGAAGCTTAACAGACAGAGTTCATTCCAGCCATTCTTTGTTCACCTGAGTATCCCATCGAAACTTATCAGGTTATATTGGCATTAACAGCACTGTCATACGAGTAAAAAACCTCCTTTCGCCTGGTCTCTTCCTTTTAGTGTGTAAGCAAGATACCTTTGTCAGAAACAAAAATGTGTCAGAGAGCAGCAGGTTTATCTTACTTCAGTGATCTACCTAAAGCAAAGACCGAGTGGGGGTGGCTGAAGGGAAAATTTACTAATGCTGCAAAAGTGAATTTAAAAGAATATAATGCGAAATCCCAAAGTACTGAACAAGATGAGCTTCAGCCACTCCAACTGTGCCTTTGGGCTTTAGCTGCCATTTGTTATTCTCTGTATTTTATCTATCCTTTATTTCTCTGTTCTCCAACGGGAAGAGTACCTGTGTTATTTGGATACTGGGACTCGTGCTTAGCAGCATTTACAGCCCAAGCTCTCCCTGCTTCCCATCAGCATGGTGCCTAAGACTGCTCCTGTGTGCTGCAAATTCTAAGCAGAAGCTGAAATTGTTCGGAGCACAGTGCAGCCAATAAGAACAGTGAAAATCCTTGGTTACCACTAGCTCTACATTAGCATGTTTTAGGGGAGGGTGAAAAAAAAAAAAAGTAATCCCAAATCAGCACCTGTTCAGTAAGAAATACATTTCTGAAAACCTACAGAATTTAGTCCAGATCAAAGATGTTTTCCCCATGAGACTTTTGTTTAAAAAGGATAAAGCAAACCACCAGTCAAAGAAAGAGGGACTACAAAGACCTGGGATTACAAATGAACTACTGACCTCCTTCCCACACATGTACAGCCATAGAGGAGCGATTCATTGTGAAGTTGCGGGGTGGGGTGGGGTGAGCAAGAAGATAACATCAAAAACCATGCTAATCCCCCCTCCCCTGAAAGTACACTGCAGCCAGGAGTGCCAACAAAACTGAATTCAGAGCCCTACGTCTATGTGATCAGCACAGCAAACAGAGCACAGTTACAATAACACCCAGCAAAGAAACATAGTAATTCAGAGCATCTGCAACCTCTTTAGTCTTGGAAGTGCTATCACTGGTAGATTAGTGTTTCAGCACATGCATGCATACCTGGTGTTGTTAAATAACAGGAAATGCTATCCGGTGCCTCTCTTTCACAGAAGAAAGGAAAAAAAAGACACCTTAAAGCTACAGTTTGCAGGGGAACGAACACTCTCCAGTCCTCTTCTTTCCCCACCACCATAAAGAAAAAGAAAAAATCGTATCTAACAGCTCTCAGCACAGTAACCCATGCACCATCTGCAGACTAAACTACCTTTCTCCCCCAGGTCTGAGCATGCTCTGTCTGTCGGCAGTGTCCTATCGCTCCAGCTGGCTCACCTCAATTTGTTAGCCTCCCAGAGGTCAGCCTTGCATGCAGGATGATTTGCTGCAGTATTCCTGCAAATCCCCAACGGGCGGCCACACTGAAATAAACACCATCGTGCTGTTTCACAAAGCTGAGCATGTCTTGGGAGACAGGCGGTAAACTGGTTTGGGGGGGGCGACACATTTTAGAAATCCTGCTTTTGAGTATCATTGCTACTGCCACTACTACTCTGAACATTTCACACAAAAGAACAAAACAATAGGAGAGAAAGGAAAAAAATGCCCCTTGCTGGAGGACATGAAAGCCATTCGGCATGCTTTCTAGCAATTCCCTTGGCACCAGGGAAGCAATTTCCCAGCTGTGATGGTCAGCAAATGGCTTAGTATTGAACAAGGCTGTGAGTGCCCTCCTTCAGTGATCTGGGGAACAGTATTTTCAAAATGAAGTTATCTTTTACTGTGAAAATAAGTAATTCCTAAATACAAAGGCACAAAAAGGAGCCAGGAGCTTATAAGAGAGTCTCTTCCTGCATACAAGCTGAAAGCTGTTTTATACCAACCTTCTCAGCAGAGCTTGAACCTGTGGGGACTGAGCAGCTTCTTGAAGATGACAAACCAGGCGGTACTGGCTGGGAACTTTGCAAGTCCTAATCCTGCAACTGGATCTACATGTGGGATCAGAAGAGCAGCCCAGTTCTGCCGACGGCACTCACCAAAAGGCTTATGGCAGGGCAGGAAGTCACACCACTGAAAACAGTTATTAGGAGTGAGATCCCAGCCCTATAATAACTTATTTGTAGATAGATCACAAGCAAACATATAATGCTTACTGCAAATGTGTTGTCTGTATATTTGCAGGATTCATATTGTTGATTATCTGGGAGGCTTTTTCCCTTTAAGTCAGACTTAACAGGTGAAATAAGAATGATGAAAAAGAGGAAATGTTCTCTAACACCCACACGTACACACATGGCTATACATTTAGAATAGACTATTTCAGTTGGAAGGGACCTACAATGACCATCTAGTCCAACTGTCACACAGATACTCTCAGATGAA